GTTCATATATGCTTTGGTTTATTTCAAACAAAATGTGTTTAAACATGCCCCTGGGATCAAGTGGATGGCTGCAAACAATTTCTCTCAGTAACATACTTATCCTGGTCTCTTCAGGGCACTTTCAAACAACAAAATCATGGCTACAAGTTGATTTCTACTCATACTACTTCCATAGGGCAGAGGGAAGTTTGCACAATTTGCCAAAGTAATTGATCTCCATGAGTTGTGTAAGAAAAAAGCAGTTCACTGGCAGATGCTGGCTTAAATATATCTAATTTTGCAACAATAACAAGAAGTTACAGTCCAGATGCTAATACTTAGATATAACCATTCACCTTGGTGTTCTTGGTCATGAGGAGTCCAGTCAACTGGTGTATCAAAGTTCCCCCCCCCCCATATACTCCTATTGAATTTAGTTATTTATTATAGTTGTTTGGGTAAAAGTTTACAGACAATATTAGTTTTCCTATAATACAGTTCTGAATGTTTACGTTCTACCTCCCAGAATGGTCGATGTGAGTCAGCATCAGTTTGATGGCAGTGCGTTTGAGGTAGATTTGTTTACAGTAAGGAGCCAAACAGCCAAATTCCCAGTACACGTTTCCAAGACCTGCACTGTAAAAGTGCTGACAGCAGATAAAGGGAGGTGACAATGTAACACCCCATCATTTGGTTTCCCTTTTGACCCATTTTAATGTTGTTCCCGTTTTTAATATTTTCTGTCTTCTCTTTTCTTCTGTTTTGTCTAGTCATTGTTGCTGGGTTTTGTTTATTTGCTTTGTATGGTTTTGTATAATTGTTTTGCTTTATGATTTTCTGTTTATGAAATCCAGGACAGATAAGGGCATGGGCAGAGGAGGATCAGGGGATGAGTAGCTAACAACAGAGTATGAGAAGAAAAGATTCTGAAATTGATTGTGGTGAAGATTGCAAAATCTTCTTGATCGAACGATTAAATTGTATGACGTGTGACTTCTATGCCAATAAGACCATTCAAATAAAAAAAAAACTGAGTTTGAATTTTGCCCGTGCCAACTAGTATTTCCCAGAAGAAAGTCACACGGCAGCCGGCGGGCTGTAACTGCTATGGCACAAAACACCGTTGTGAATTTGTGGCCACCCTTTGAAAAGCGTGAGATGTCACACTACATTGCCCTCACCTCTCTTGGAATGGCTTTGCCTAATCACCACGAAGTCCGCCAGCTGCTGTGGCTGTGTGTTGGCCAGGAGGGTGCATTCCACTCGCATCAACCCCGTGCGGCGCCCACAACAGGTGCCCCGCCGGGTTTTCTGGGCCGTCATATTTATAGGGGCAGGCTGAGTGCTGGGTGGGCTCGTACCACGGCGACACCGACCGCCTGGTTCAACCCCAGAACAACCCGACAAGCTTATTTGACCGAGGGGGAGACTGGGGAGCAGAGGCGTGAGTGGCCCTCGGGGGCACCATTAGACGGCACACTCGGGACCCCAACCCCGGCCAGCCTGGGACCATGGCCAGGTTGCTCCCCAGGAGGAAGGGCCTGGGCACGGCGGAGCCCGGGCGAGGTTCCTGCCTGCCAGGGCCTCAGATTCCGCCCTGCCAGTAACTGCCCACCCGGCGCTGCTGGGACGTTACTTAGGCCTCGCCTAGAGCACCCTCGGGCCAACCCGGGGGACAGTGGGGACAGTCCGGGCGCAGCACGCAAACCCGCCCCCCGCGCGCCCGCCGCGCCTCCCAACCGGCCCCGCCCCGCCCCGCGGCCCGGCCGGCGCCGCCGCACTCACCTCCCGCGCCGCCGCGTCGCTCTCCCGGAAGTGGTTCCCGCGACCCGGATGCCGGAAGTGACGCAGGCGGAGCCTCTGGACGTCTCAGCCCCGCCTGCGGCGCTGGGGCTTGGCTGCTTGCGGATCCCCAGGCTTGGTGGGAACCTCGCCCACAGAGTGGGGTGTTGAGCCCAGAAGGAGACCTGGAGAACTGAGGTCAAGGCCCCGTCGGCTCTTCGAGCCTCGATATCAGCTCAGGCCATTTCCAAATTTATTTATAGAGGCCTTCAATCTGTGGCCCCGGAGTTTACCATGCAGCGGGGAGACAAACAAGCAGATTCTGATAATTCAGCCAGAACAACAGTTATTACCAAAACGTTCACCGATTACTTAATGTCTACCATCTATGAGCTAGATGGTGCGGGGCAACGGGAAAAAAATATGCATTCATTCATTTTATAATCCGCTGTTAATTTGATCAACAGATCATTATAATTACAAAGCACTTGCCTTGTCTGGTCACTGCAATTAAAATGGTGAACCAGACAGACGCAGACTCTGCCCTCATTAAATAAATGAGTTTGCAGTCTGTGCAGGGACAGACATAATAATTGAATGAACGTGTAATGTTGCAACGTGATCACGTTTGGAAGACAACGAATAAGGCTCCATGACTGGGTACACGGGTGGGAGACAGACTAGTAATGGGAGGAACGGTGCCTTCATGAAGGCAGAATGTTGTCAGAGGGCATGCTCTAGACACAGCCAAGTCTTCAGATGACCGTGACCCCTCGCGGAGATCTTGCAGATGCGTAACACTGAGTCAGACCTACCCAGCAAACGCACTCGTGATTCTTGACCCTGAAAAGTAATAGAAAGCAATTATATTGTTTTAAACTGCTTCATTTTGGGGTAATTCGTTATGTAGCATTAACAGGGATTGGACACCAGAGATGGAAAAAGATAAGACTTGCTCAACTTCAAGGAGCAACTCTTTCTTTCTTTCATACATTTGTTAGGTCGCGGGAAACAGGGACAGTGGGGTGTCCCTCTCCAGGCCTGACTGCCCCCTTACAGGAGGTTGGAAGAGAATCAGGCAATTCTCTTAGCCTTAGCCTGCCATAAAGACTACTGGGCATGTGCCAATTCAAGCCTGACCTAGGTGGGCGGTACACCTGGGCAGCCCAGACTAGGCCCAGGTGGGCATAATTCAGCAATGGGTCAACCAATACCTTCGACCACACCTCCCAGCCACAGGTCTCAAATACCTTGACAGAGAGACCCTCTGCCCTTCTTCCTCTTCCTCTTCTTCACCCTTCAGCTCCTTTCCTGTGCCTGCTCGGCTGCACTGCGGTCTCTCTGGCCTCCGGCTACCATGTGTGGGTTCGCAGTCCCACAAGGTTGCTTGTGTTCAGTGACCTTAAACCTGAAACTTTCGTCCAATATAAAAGCCCACTTGGATCACAAACCAAGCTTCAGCGTGTATTCTTTGTCGTGCGAAGTCAAGAACCAAGGTATTTCCCACCTGAGAAATCTAACACATTTAATTAAATCATTAATCCATATGTGCACCCCGAGGTGATTTTATTACTAG